CCTCCCCAGAGTATTAACGCTCTAAGAGTATTATTAACGCTGCTGTACCTCATTCTGAACCTGCCAAGGACCCAGCCTGTTCCACCCTGCCAGCAGCTTCTGGCAAGCCCCATAGCCTCAGCTCGACTCATCCTTTTTGATACTATCCTCCTTCTTGCACCCCCAGCTACCTGTGGGTGCTGTGGGGTCGGAAGCCTCAAACAGGTCATGCTCCAATAAAGGTGATTCTGCCTGCGACTCTGCCTGGCTTCATGAGATGGGAGTTCCCCCCAGAAGGGGGAGAGAATGGGACAGAGTTCTGCCACCAGCTTGATCTGACTCAGGAATGGGTTGGGGCAGACGATGGCGATCTGCCCGTGAGGCCCCTTCCTCCTCCTTGCACCCACATCCCTAAAGCCATCCTAGCTGGGAAGCTGTCCCTGAGAAGTCATACTCCTGTTGTCCCCTATTTCACTGGCCAGCGCCTATTCCTCCCCAAGTGTCTGTCTTCTGTGGCAGGGACAGCAGCTGCCACTCTGCTTTGTGGCTACCAGGGACACTCTGTCCTTCATAACTGCTCAGAGTATGTGAACAAATCCAGCCTTGGCCAAATTTGAATTTTCAAAAGCTAAAAATAATAAGCCTATAAAATAAAAGTGTCTTGAGCCTAAGAGAATTATGGCCACAGATTTGGTTGGGGCATTTAACAAGCAAAAAAATCCAACTGGGCTGCCTTAGGTTGGTTCTGTTGACTGGGTAGGGGCACATCTAGCCCCTCTGAGGTCTTGTCCTATTGCCTAGAACAGTGATGGCGAACCCTATGACACGCGTGTCAAAGGTGACACGCGAACTCATTTCTTTGGTTAATTTTTCTTGGTTAAATGGCATTTAAATATATAAAATAAATATCAAAAATATAAATCTTTGTTTTACTATGGTTGCAAATATCAAAAAATTTCTATATGTGACACGGCACCAGAGTTGTTAGGGTTTTTCAAAATGCTGACACGCTGAGCTCAAAAGGTTCACCATCACTGGCCTAGAATAACAGGAGGAGAAATGGATCTGAAAAAGCTTGGCCCAGGGGTGAGGCTGTAGAGTTAGGAGCAGAGCTCCCCTAGTGGCCAGGCCGGTGCTGGTAGCCCTGTTCCAGCTGCCTGACCATCTGGAGGTTCAGTGGAGGAGGTGGTCAAGGAGAAGGGAGGTGAGGGATGGGTGCTTCCACTTCCTTCTGCATTCGCCTCCTCTGCCCACACTGCCTGGACTACCTGGCAGATCCCGTAGGAGTGCCACTGTTTTCATGCATGATTCTTTCATCAACCCTGTTGCCCAATACGTTTCCTTGCTTCTCCTTCCAAATAGAACACAAATACCACCATCTGCTGCTCCTCGGGGCACCTTTCACCTTCCTGAGGCCATGGCATCTACTCCCACCCCATTAGAGTCAGTATAAAGAAGACAGAATTACTTTGTCCTCCCCAGGGCAGTCCATTAAGGAAGGTGCCAACTTCCTACCCTTGCTCCTGTCACCTGTGATTAATTCATTCAATATTTACTAAGCCATGCCCATGCTAAGCACTGGAAAATAGAGATGTATTATCACCTCCCTGACGCGGGGGACTGGCAACTCCAACACACTGCGGTGGCCCTCTAAGCTCAGATTCAATGTCCTAGCATAGTGAGTTGAGGATCTTCGAGCTCAAATCCCTTCTCCACCCTCCCCAGCAAGCGGTAGTCCAAACTGATAACTCCAGCTATGAGCCCAGGACAGCTGTTCACTCCTGCTACCGCTTCCCTGTCATGTTTCCACATCCCCAACCACACACTCTCACTAGTGATGCCTTGGGGAGCCTTCTGGGGAGTGAATTGAGTACCCATTAGACCAGCAGTTCTTAAAATGTGGTCCTCGGGCACAGGGGTTCCCAAGACCCTTTCAGGGATCCATGAGGTCAAGCTTATTCTCATAGTAATACTAAGACATTATTTTCCTTTTTCAGTGTCAACGTTTGTACTGATGTAGAAACCTTAGTGGGTAAACTGCCTTAGCACAAATCAAGACAGGGTACTCATAGCCATTGTATTCTCACCACCATGCACTAGCAACTTAAAAAAAAAATGCTAGTTTCACTCCAGACCATCCTTAATGAAGCAGTGAGACCTTATTAATTTTATTAAATCTTATCCCTGGAGTAACACGTCTTCAATATTCTCTGCGATGAACTGGGAAGTGGGCATAGAGCTTCTGCTAGACACAAGAGTATGACGGTGTCTTGAGGAAAGCACTTAGTTTGTGGAGTTGTGAGCTGTACCAACTGCTTTTTTTCATGGAACTCCCCGTTGACCTGAAAGGATGACTGGCAGAGGAACCATGATTATCAGACTTGAGTAGCAGGCCGACCTTTTCTCAGAAAGGAGCAAAGTGGGTCTGTCAATTCCGAGAAAAACCTGACAGTATTTAGTGCCAAGGATAGAATTGGAGCTTTCAAGTAAAGATTAGCATTTTGAAAACCTGTCTCTGCTACCATGAGCTTCACAACGTCCCAAAACTTTCCTGTTGAAAACACTCCTGATATTCAGAAATGTAATTTTTTAAAAAAATAATATATACTCAAATGTGTCAACATTTGGAACATTTACATAGCTCAGTGAATCAATATTTTCCACATGACCGATGCATGATGTTACAAAATTATTCCTGGGTAAAACCACCCAAGTGCAATATAGACCAATGGACTTTAATGTAAAATAGTAAAAAAGGCTATTGATACAGTTTCAGGTTCCACTTTGCAACTAACCTTTGAGAAACTACCATTTGTCAAGTGTTCATGTTATATCGAGAATATCCACAATTACCTGAAAAGGCTATCTATACACCACTCTCTTTCCCACTATGTTTCTGAGACTAGATTTTCTTCATATGTAGTACTTCAAACAAAGTAGAGCAACAGACAGAAAGCCAAGTAGATTCTGAGAACGCAGCTGTCCTCTATTAAGCCAGAGACTGAGGAGATTTGCAAAAATGTGAAATAACGGCCATCCTCGCTCATGTGGGGAGGTGAGGATAGTTATTTTTCATGAAAAACATGTTAACATGGTTTATTTCTATGAAGAACTATTTAAAATTTTTCTCAGCTCTCATTTTAATATGATAAATATTGATAGATGTAACCTACTTCAACGAAGGCTTTTTGGATCTTCAAATGCCACTCAACCTCTAAGAGTGTAAGGGGTTCTAAGACCAATCCACATAGTATTGGTATTTGGGGCTATCTGGGACCCAGTGCATAAGAAATTCACCTGGCAAATGTTTACCAAGTGCCAACTCTATGCCTGATGCTCCGCTAGGCATGGGGGATTCAGAATTGGAGGACTCGCAGACCAGGGGAGGAGACCAACAGGTAAGAGAAGAGTTATAAAAGGGACAATGATGAGAATTGAGAAACCTGCACCAGGAGCAGCATATAGCCATGGGGGGGGGGGGGGGGCGCAAAGAGCAAGTACCCAGGGATGCTTCCCAGAGGAGCAGACACTGCACCTGAGTCCGTAAGGCCAGCTAAGGGGGCGCATGCTAGGGCGGGGGAACAGAATGCCTACAAGGTAGAGGCTTTCAGAAAAATTTGGCTATTTCCAGCGCCAACAGTAAGTAGCTCAATATGAAAGCAGCATGAAGTGCAAGCCTGTGTACTGGAGGTGAGTTGGGGGTGGACAGGGGCTGAGCGATGTCTTTCCTGAGTCCGGGAAAGCGGGGAGACGGCGGGAGTTCACAGTGAGAGGTCGGCTGGTTCCGTGAGTAGCAGCAGCCACACAGCCCGAGATACATTTACGTTCCCCACCCCCGGCCCAGGCCGGGCC